GCTGCATTTTACAACCTTTGATGGACATCATTTTACTTTAGAGACAGTTTGCATATTCATTAGTTCAAACTAACTCCAACTTAACTGGTATAACCCCCTTCAGTATCACTATATCTGATGCAAGTTGCTACAAAAGACTTTTTCATAGCCTTACCTTAACACTCAGTCTATGGTCTGAATGTGTGTAAAAAAAGATGGCCCAGGAGAGGTTTTGGTGAGTACTTAGCAAGGTCTTACTGACAGATTTTAAAATGAACCACTGAATGTAATCTGAATGTGTTCTTTTTATTTTGATTCTCAGGTTGATGGACTGTTTAAGTCTTTACCATACTCTCACCAGATGGGCCATGTAAATGTCTACCGCACACCTTCATCGGTTGTCATTCACACTGAGTGATTACAGCTGATCGTCTATTAATAGCGGTTACTCTAATGGTTATCCTCCCCAGCAGTTATGGCTCTTCTGTCTCTGGGCTTTGTGGAATGCCAACGGTGACCCTCATGATGACCAAATATGGTCCAATGAAGAGCTTGCCAAAAATACACTAGAGCTTGCCCACAGCTGGAGGAACTCGTGGAGCAGAGACCTGTAGGTCCAATTTCCTCTGGACAGAAGCGTTGTCATATTGAGGCACAGAGGCTTTTGAAGGCAGTGATTTTTGTGGGTGTTTTGTTGAATGAGCTAGGACCATTTGCAGACTGTGCCTCAGTGTTGGATCCCAACCTTACTTCCACAGCTGTGTAGTCGATTCCTGCTCTTTTGACGGACACTACTCAGCACTCTGCAATTCTATTGGCATCTTATGCTGCTGCCTGCCAAGCAGCTCAGCTGCCTGTCAGACAGTGGAGGAGTGACAACTTTCTGTGGTGAGTATTTGGTTCAGTCTCTTTAGTTAAATTTTATTTGCAGTTATCACAGCAAACACCTTGCAGCTGATTATGACTCAACTCAAAGACATAATTTTTAATACTTCAGTTTTAATATTTTAATGTTTGCCAGGTGTTTAGAGCGCTTTACCAAAAAATGGCAAGCTACATGAAGATGATTGTTACAGTGTAAGCAAGCACAATTATCATTTTTTTTTTTTTTTTGACAGGTTAAGGTTATATTCATGTAAAAAATATGAAATATTACATCTGAGTTTACTTTACAGCAGTGTTATTTTGCTCATAGATGGAAGTCAAACATCAAAATATTTCAGTCTCCCTAAATGGCCAACAGAAATGAATAATTCATCATAAGATGTTTTTTATTTTTGCACAGTCTTGTACTCAGACATTTACCATGAAGTCCGTGGGGTGAAAGTTAAAGAGTGGAGGGTAGAGTTTTGGCTGTATGGTAAAAAGAACAAAATTCTCTGTGGATGAAAGTACATTGACTGTGTTTAGGAGGAATATGAATGACACATTTTATGTTTAAAAAATGCCTTCTGAACTCTAATGACTTGAAGTAAGACTATTTACCCCTCCTCCCACTAGGCATTGCCATGCCCTAAGAATAGCCACTATAGCTGTGTGGAACTCGGTGTCCTGTTGTGTGTGCTGGGCTGTCCTCTCCAGCAAACTGTAGTGGAGGTTGTGAGGAGGGCTGCCATGTGACACTGGCTATGTCCTGAGTGATGCCAGTGGTTACACTGCTGTCTTATGTCTATGCATGAGGGACAGTATCACCCTGCTGGCCACTTCAAACTCTGAGAAAAGCTGCCAAAAAGTGCAACTGGTAAAAAGAAGGAGAAGTGACCTGCAGCCCCATGGAGAGCTGTTCAGTAAAGGATGGCCTTGTCTTGCAGTATGGGGTGTGCCAAGTGTTTGCTGGCTTTGGCTACATCACATTTGATGGTGTTATTCTGCCTCATTCATGGTGCTTGTACATATGTAGTGTCAGCCCTCTCCTCTAAAGCCATACATGACTATTCTCTGGTACTAAGCTTTTTAAAAAAGATAGTAATGGCATTTTCATAATAAGCAGACTAGTTTCATTTGCTTTCACTGGAAGTGTCTGTTGACCCAAAAACTCTATGGAAAATACAAGTAAGTTCGTGTGGTCTCTATGGATTTGTGTTAAAAGTTGCAAAGAGTTTATAAAATGTATCTTTAACTGGTGTCTAGCTCTCAGGTAAATGGAGAAGAACGCAGTGTGCCTTTTGACAATGGAGAACTTGAAGCATACCAAGTTGGCGACAGACTGATTACAATCACACCATCTGGGGTGGGAATTGACTTGTCCTCTACCCAATACCTCAGATTAACTGTACCGCAGGGTGTATGACGCCACGACTTTGGGCCTCTGTGGGGAACTTCAATGGGACAAGTATGATGACTTGAAAACTGAGAAATGGCCATCTTACTGAAAGCTTTGCAGAGCTCCTGCACAGCTGGGCAGTAGTGACTCCTGGACAGCATTGCGCACTGACATTTGTGGGAAGGAGTGTGATGATTGCAGCCTGTCCCTCACATGAAAGCATGCTCTGTGATGTTCTGTTGGACAGTAGTATTGAATTCAACCACTGCTGGAACAGTGGTATAGAGCGTGATATTTACAGAGTTATGTGCATTAGGGCAGTTTGTGCTGGGGCTGGGCACATCGCCGCCTGTTTAGCACTGGAAGCCTATTCTGCAGCCTGCCAGGCTAAAGATACCAGTAGGGTCATGGAGAGAGAACACTCCTTGCTGTAAGTGAATAGTTTTATCGTAGTTTAAATGAAGAGCATATGATACACTCTCAAATGAATTTGTGTTTGCTACCACCAGCTCTCCAAGTGTCCTGACCAGAGGCAGGCCAAGAGAGTTGTGTGACTCCAGCTCCAACTCATGCCCCGCTCTGCTCCAGCCTGGTTCTTCAGCAACTGGTGTTCGAAGGATGCCAGTGCAGCTATGGCAATGTGTTTGATGGGAACGAAGTGTGTACCTTACAGTCAGTGTGGTTGTGTTCTCAATGATATATACATCAAGGTAAACATATAAGCTTAATACAGACATTAAATGTATGTATCTATCTATGTACACTCTCAAGGGAATATATTATCCGTTATTAAAAGCAACACATGCAGAATTTCTTCTCTTTCCTCTCAGATGGATGAGGCGACTGTACACTTGATGGCTGCGCCAGATATATGCTGGTTGCCACACGTTGGGTGGGGTGATATGTGAAAGAGGCATCTGCAAACCCAGGGCAGCAGTGTGCTCTGAGGAACGGCTCCGGGGTTGTCATGATGGAGCAGAATTTGTAAACTTGGACAGTCTCCAAATCTCCACACTCAGTGGCAGCATTTGAGCTTGGAACCTGACTTATCTTACAGTCTGATGTCACTCTGCGAGTGAGGGCCAGTGTTTCAGTGGTTGCAGCCTGGTCTCTTACATGACCTTGTGATAGGCAGCTTTTCCAGGCTTGTCACCGTGTTTCAGATCCTCCTGCATGGATTATCAGTTGCCATACAGGAAGGCATGGTGAAGGTATAACTTCACTCATGATTTTGAGGCCCGCAAACTGAAGCATTAAACAAATTTTCCAGTGTTTTTCCTAACTCATTGTTGCACCCCACAGGTGAATGGACACTTTGTTTCCCTCCCTTACACCTTGTCGTCAGGGGTGTCCCTGTCATCTGTCTGGTGACCCAGGACAAGTCAGAGGTAACAGTGATCTTGAGGGAGAGACACTGGGATGGAGTCAGAGTTGGAGATAGAGATGGTTTACCTGGTGACAGTCAAGGTCCCTTTCTGGTACTCAGGCAAATTGTGTGGTCTCTGTGGAAACCTTAATGACCTCTCTCACACAGGTTCAGTCAAGTCAGGGGTTCTCCCTGACTTTCCTGGCTGGTAAGTGATCCCCTCCACAATAAAAGTATTATACATGTATTCACTAATGACTGTTTGGTTTAAAAAATTAGGCCAGTAATGAATTGTTTTCTCTTTTCACAGTGGCTTCACTGGATGATAACTGACAATTTTTAATGTCCTGAGTAAATGTGTATTGTTGAAATGTTTGAAATACAAAAACTATTTAAAAAACTTTGTATATTCTGTCATTTTTACTCGATAGGCATTCCCTCTCATGCATTTTACATAATACTCGTAGCACTCTTATCAGTTAGTCCATACACCTTTTTTTTAAACAAGGTCATCTCTGGTCAATATTGATTACATTCCCACAAAAAATCGAGGGCACGCCTTAATCCAAACAATGTGTACAGTAACTAAGCCATGCTTACCGTTGCCCTGCCCAAGGGCTTCTAACCACATGGATTCTAAAATAAATATTTGAGTTTGGTTTATTATATTATTAAAAAATATATATATATATGACTCTAATGCAAACTGTTAAGTGCCAAGTTATATTTACTTCTCTCCATATCATCAAATGATGTGGCACCCTCCACTACATGCTGTTCTTTTGTGACACACAAAACCAACAGAAACCACCTGTTTAAGCCGACATCTGCCACTTCACCCAAATGTTTAGGATCTGATTACTTCCATGGAACATCCACTCATTTTTGATATTGACAAGGGACACATTGCATTACAAGCATGAACTGACTTGAATGACAGTATAAACAGTGCCTGAAATTGTAAATCTAGCAGAGCTTATATACCAGGTGCTGTGCTTTTTATTTATTAATTTTTTTTAACCAATTTAAATACATATCAAAATACTAAGTGGAAGAGCATTTTGGAATTAAACAAAACATAAAGTTATAGAGGGGAAATGAACATACTGTCACAGTTCAGTGACATTTATATTTAACACTTGCTAAAATGTACTTGCATCAAAACTGCTTTATTTATACAGAGGAAATCAGTGGGAAAAATGTGTTTTATATCCTAGAAGAAACCAGCATTCCTCAAAAACCCAGCCCTATTATCAAACTGACTGATATCTGCTCAGACTCTTGGGTAACTTTGAAGATAATAGTGTTGATTTTGGTCTTATCCTCATTCTTACCTTGCGCAGTCTAAAATGGATAATATTATTTAGTTACACCAGAATATACAGCTGAATTTGGGCAAATAATCAAATTGACCTATATCTGCCTGGCGTTATACATCCAATGGCACTGTTTAAAAAATAAGTTTAAAAAAAACTGGGTCATATTGAATAAACATAATTGAAAAACTACCATAATTAATTATTATGTATTATTATTCTGATGTCTTTTCAGTATTTTGTAATTTTCCACCAAGGAGAAAAAAAAAAGGTTTCTAAAGAAGTTTGTCCAGGTTGATAGACTTATTTTCCATCAAATGCATAAGTAGTATTACCCATACCTAAAATTTATCTTCTTCTACACAATACAAATTATTGAGAAGTTCATTCAAGATCCCTGGGATTAAATGATAGGATCTACATGTCACTAGGTGGTATTAAAGCAATAATGAATGAGTGTATTTGGTATTAGACCTTAGACCTATGTCAACATACAGCAGGACCTACAATTCATTGCCAAGTTCGCCTTAATTTGCTTTAGAGGAAGGTTACTTTTTAAAGTCTTATCTGTTGACATAAGTTTTTGATAGGCCGTGTTTTTTTTCCCATCAGAGCATATATAAGGATGGAACTGTGAAAAAAGACATCACTCTTTATTCGTAGCAGGTAGGCACTGTTCACTCTCAGATTATTTATGTTGACTGTTTGGTCAAATTGTTGGATTTATATCACTCAAATAATTAAAAGTTTTAATACTTCTGTAAATAAAACAAGAATTTCTGTCTTTCAGCCATGGGTACTCTGTTGCTGCTTTGTGCTTTGGGGGCAATTCTCAACCGTAAGTATATTTTGTCATATTTTTTAACTGTTGCAGGATACATTTGAATGTTCCTTATTTCAGCTTGATATATCCATACTTGTCTTCTGAACACAGTTCTTGTGATGAAATTTTAAAAATTCTGGAAAAATCTTTCTTTTCTTTAATATCTATCAAAAATGGTGCTCACCATTAATGACTATTAAACCTGACTAAATGTGGCTTAGCTCAGTTAATCAACCGCAGCAGCGTTCCCCAAACCTTGTCTTAGAATTCCCCAGCAGGACGTGAAGCCAAGTGAACGCTCAGTTTGAAGAAATTAATCCAGGTTGTCAACCCCCTCAGTTGAAGAAATTGTTGTGCGGCCGTACCAGGTGCCTGTGCGAATGAAGCAGAATGTTAAACAGGTGAAGGATTTCAGAGTGCAGCACATAAAGGATAGCCATCTAAATTGAAATTTGCTTTTGTTGGGAATAGCATTTACCTTCAGCTGCTATTGAGTTGCAACTATTATACTGAATGGGTGAAACAGGAGTGTAATCTAAATCCCCCAGGCCCTGACTGAGCCCAGAAAATGTTCTTTTCACAGAATAGGCACAGATATTGATAATATTTCCATTATGCAATTATATTGTCTGCAAAAGTGACTTATTGAGTGCTGCTGAGAAGCAGTCAAGTGACTATTCCTCCGTCTAAATCTCTCACAATGGTTATCAAGAAAAAAAGCAATCCATCCATTACAGACTAGCATTCATTCCTGCTTTTTAACTTTGAAATGAAGGTATTTTTCAGTCACTTTTTCTTTGGTGTCATATTTTCTTTTGTACTGTGTATGCGATCCAAGAAGTATCAAGCCAAGTTTGTATTGCCAGTCTGCGAATCCTTTGATTGCCTTGGCACAAATAGTCTCATTCATTTCCTAATGCTTTTTTTTTTTTTGACAGGAAAAACACGTGTCAAAACAAGAGTTGTTTTTAAGTTACCTAAAGTGAAGTAGTCAGGTACAAAATTGTGCTTCACAAATCCTGTGTATGAGAGAAAAAAAAAAAAAAAAAAAAAAAAAAAGCATTAGGAAATGAATGAGACTATTTGTGCCAAGGCAATCAAAGGATTCGCAGACTGGCAATACAAACTTGGCTTGATACTTCTTGGATCGCATACACAGTACAAAGAAACAATATGACACCAAAGAAAAAGTGACTGAAAAATACCTTCATTTCAAAGTTAAAAAGCAGGAATGAATGCTAGTCTGTAATGGATGGATTGCTTTTTTTCTTGATAACCATTGTGAGAGATTTAGACGGAGGAATAGTCACTTGACTGCTTCTCAGCAGCACTCAATAAGTCACTTTTGCAGACAATATAATTGCATAATGGAAATATTATCAATATCTGTGCCTATTCTGTGAAAAGAACATTTTCTGGGCTCAGTCAGGGCCTGGGGGATTTAGATTACACTCCTGTTTCACCCATTCAGTATAATAGTTGCAACTCAATAGCAGCTGAAGGTAAATGCTATTCCCAACAAAAGCAAATTTCAATTTAGATGGCTATCCTTTATGTGCTGCACTCTGAAATCCTTCACCTGTTTAACATTCTGCTTCATTCGCACAGGCACCTGGTACGGCCGCACAACAATTCTCTCAACTGAGGGGGTTGACAACCTGGATTAATTTCTTCAAACTGAGCGTTCACTTGGCTTCACGTCCTGCTGGGGAATTCTAAGACAAGGTTTGGGGAACGCTGCTGCGGTTGATTAACTGAGCTAAGCCACATTTAGTCAGGTTTAATAGTCATTAATGGTGAGCAGCATTTTTGATAGATATTAAAGAAAAGAAAGATTTTCCAGAATTTTTAAAATTTCATCACAAGAACTGTGTTCAGAAGACAAGTATGGATATATCAAGCTGAAATAAGGAACATTCAAATGTATCCTGCAACAGTTAAAAAATATGACAAAATATACTTACGGTTGAGAATTGCCCCCAAAGCACAAAGCAGCAACAGAGTACCCATGGCTGAAAGACAGAAATTCTTGTTTTATTTACAGAAGTATTAAAACTTTTAATTATTTGAGTGATATAAATCCAACAATTTGACCAAACAGTCAACATAAATAATCTGAGAGTGAACAGTGCCTACCTGCTACGAATAAAGAGTGATGTCTTTTTTCACAGTTCCATCCTTATATATGCTCTGATGGGGAAAAAAACACGGCCTATCAAAAACTTATGTCAACAGATAAGACTTTAAAAAGTAACCTTCCTCTAAAGCAAATTAAGGCAGAACTTGGCAATGAATTGTAGGTCCTGCTGTATGTTGACATAGGTCTAAGGTCTAATACCAAAATACACTCATTCATCTATTGCTTTAATACCACCTAGTGACATGTAGATCCTATCATTTAATCCCAGGGATCCTTGAATGAACTTCTCAATAATTTGTATTGGTGTAGAAGATAAATTTTAGGTATGGGTAATACTACTTATGCATTTGATGGAAAATAAGTCTATCAACCTGGACAAACTTCTTTAGAAACCTTTTTTTTTCTCCCTTGGTGGAAAATTACAAAATACTGAAAAGACATCAGAATAATACATAATAAATTAATTATGGTAGTTTTCAATTATGTTTATTCAATATGACCCAGTTTTTTTTAAACTTATTTTTTAAACAGTGCCATTGGATGTATAACGCCAGGCAGATATAGGTCAATTTGATTATTTGCCCAAATTCAGCTGTATATTCTGGTGTAACTAAATAATATTATCCATTTTAGACTGCGCAAGGTAAGAATGAGGATAAGACCAAAATCACAATTTATCTTCAAAGTTACCCAAGAGTCTGAGCAGATATCAGTCCAGTTTGATAATAGGGCTGGGTTTTGAGGAATGCTGGTTTCTTCTAGGATATAAAACACATATTTCCCACTGATTTCCTCTGTATAAATAAAGCAGTTTTGATGCAAGTACATTTTAGCAAGTGTTAAATATAAATGTCACTGAACTGTGACAGTATGTTCATTTCCCCTCTATAACCTTATGTTTTGTTTAATTCCAAAATGCTCTTCCACTTAGTATTTTGATATGTATTTAAATTGGTTAAAAAAAATTAATAAATAAAAAGCACAGCACCTGGTATATAAGCTCTGCTAGATTTACAATTTCAGGCACTGTTTATACTGTCATTCAAGTCAGTTCATGCTTGTAATGCAATGTGTCCCTTGTCAATATCAAAAATGAGTGGATGATTCCATGGAAGTAATCAGATCCTAAACATTTGGGTGAAGTGGCAGATGTCGGCTTAAACAGGTGGTTTCTGTTGGTTTTGTGTGTCACAAAAGAACAGCATGTAGTGGAGGGTGCCACAATCATTTGTAATGGAGAGAAAGTAAATATAACTTGGCACTTAACAGTTTGCATTAGAGTCATATATATATATATTTTTATAATTATAATAAACCAAACTCAAATATTTATTTAGAATCCATGTGGTTAGAAGCCCTTGGGCAGGGCAACGGTAAGCATGGCTTAGTTACTGTACACATTGTTTGGATTAAGGCGTGCCCTCGATTTTTGTGGGAATGTAATCAATATTGACCAGAGATGACCTTGTTTAAAAAAGGTGTATGGTACTAACTGATAAGAGTGCTACGAGTATTATGTAAAATGCATGAGGAGGGAATGCCTATCGAGTTAAAATGACAGAATATACAAAGTTTTTTAAATAGTTTTTGTATTTCAAACATTCAACAATACACATTTACTCAGGACATTAAAATTGTCAGTTATCATCCAGTGAAGCCACTGTGAAAAGAGAAAACAATTCATTACTGGCCTAATTTTTTAAACAAACAGTCATTAGTGAATACATGTATAATACTTTTATTGTGGAGGGGATCACTTACCAGCCAGGAAAGTCAGGGAGAACCCCTGACTTGACTGAACTGTGTGAGAGGAGGTCATTAAGGTTTCCACAGAGACCACACAATTTGCCTGAGTACCAGAAAGGGACCTTGACTGTCACCATGGTAACACCAATCTCTATCTCCAACTCTGACTCCATCCCAGTGTCTCTCCTCAAGATCACTGTTACCTCTGACTTGTCCTGGGTCACACCAGATGACAGGGACACCCCTGACGACAAGGTGTAAGGGAGGGAAACAAAGTGTCCATTCACCTGTGGGGTGCAACAATGAGTTAGGAAAAACACTGGAAAATTTGTTAATGCTTCAGTTTGCGGGCCATCAAATCATGAGTGAAGTTATACCTTCACCATGCCTTCCTGTATGGCAACTGATAATCCATGCAGGAGGATCTGAAACACGGTGACAAGCCTGGAAAAGCTGCCATCACAAGGTCCATGGTAAGAGACCAGGCTGAACCACTGAACACTGGCCTCATCGCAGAGTGACATCAGACTGTAAGATAAGTCAGGTTCCAAGCTCAAATGCTGCCCACTGAGTGTGGAGATTTGGAGACTGTTCCAGAGTTTACAAACTTCTGCTCCATCATGACAACCCCAGGAGCCGTTCCTCAGAGCACACTGCTGCCCTGGGTTGCAGACTGCCTCTTCACATATCACCCCACCCAACGTGTGGCACCAGCATATCTTGGCGCAGCCATCAGTGTACAGTCGCTCATCCATCTGAGAGGAGAAGAGAGAAATTCTGCATGTGTGCTTTAATAACGGATAATATATTCCCTTGAGAGTGTACATAGATAGATACATACATTTAATGTCTGTATTAAGCTTATATGTTTACCTTGATGTATATATCATTGAGAACACAACCACACTGACTGTAAGGTACACACTCGTTCCCATCAAACACATTGCCATAGCTGCACTGGCATCCTTCCGAACAGCCAGTTGCTGAAGAACCAGGCTGGAGCAGAGCGGGGCATGAGTTGGAGCTGGAGTCAACACACTCTCTTGGCCTGCTCTGGTCAGGACACTGGAGAGCTGGTGGTAGCAAACACAAATCATTTAGAGTGTATCATATGCTCTTCATTTAAACTACGATAAAAACTATTCACTTACAGCAAGGAGTGTTCTCTCTCCATGACCCTACTGGTATTCCTTTAGCCTGGCAGGCTGCAGAATAGGCTTCCAGTGCTAAACAGGCGGCGATGTGCCCAGCCCCAGCACAAACTGCCCTAATGCACATAACTCTGTAAATATCACGCTCTATACCACTGTTCCAGCAGTGGTTGAATTCAATACTACTGTCCAACAGGACATCACAGAGCATGCTTTCATGTGAGGACAGGCTGCAATCATCACACTCCTTCCCACAAATGTCAGTGCAATGCTGTCCAGGAGTCACTACTGCCCAGCTGTGCAGGAGCTCTGCAAAGCTTTCAGTAAGATGGCCATTTCTCAGTTTCAAGTCATCATACTTGTCCCCATTGAAGTTCCCACAGAGGCCCAAAGCTGTGGCGTCATACACCTGCGGTACAGTTAATCTGAGGTATTGGGTAGAGGACAAGTCAATTCCCACCCCAGATGGTGTGATGATAATCAGTCTGTCGCCAACTTGGTATGCTTCAAGTTCTCCATTGTCAAAAGGCACACTGCGTTCTTCTCCATTTACCTGAGAGCATAGACACCAGTTAAAGATACATTTTATAAACTCTTTGCAACTTTAACACAAATCCATAGAGACCACAGAACTTACTTGTATTTTCCATAGAGTTTTGGGGTCAACAGACACTTCCAGTGAAAGCAAATGAAATACTAGTCTGCTTATTATGAAAATGCCATTACTATCTTTTTTAAAGCTTAGTACCAGAGAATAGTCATGTATGGCTTTAGAGGAGAGGGCTGACACTACATATGTACAAGCACCATGATGAGGCAGAATAACACCATCAAATGTGATGTAGCCAAAGCCAGCAAACACTTGGCACACCCCATACTGCAAGACAAGGCCATCCTTTACTGAACAGCTCTCCATGGGGCTGCAGGTCACTTCTCCTCTTTTACAGTTGCACTTTTGGCAGCTTTTCTCAGAGTTGAAGTGGCCAGCAGGGTGATACTGTCCCTCATGCATGCAGCCACAGTCAGAAACCAGCACACACTGGCCATCACTCAGGACATAGCCAGTGTCACACTGGCAGCCCTCCTCACAACCTCCACTACAGTTTGCTGGAGAGGACAGCCCAGCACACACAACAGGACACCGAGTTCCACACAGCTTATAGTGGCTATTCTTAGGGCATGGCATGCCTAGTGGGAGAGAGGGTAAATAAGTCTTACTTCAAGTCATTAGAGTCACAAGGCATTTTTAAACATAAAATGTGTCATTCATATTCTCCCTAAACACAGTCAATGTACTTTCATCCCACAGAATTTTGTTCTTTTTACCATACAGCCAAAACTCTACCCCTCCACTCTTAACTTTCACCCCACGGACTTCATGGTAAATGTCTGAGTACAAGACTGTGCAAAAATAAAAAACATCTTATGATGAATTAATTCATTTCTGTGGCCATTTAGGGAGACTGAAATATTTTGATGTTTGACTTCCATCTATGAGCAAAATAACACTGCTGTAAAGTAAACTCAGATGTAAATATTTCATTTACATGATATAACCTTACCTGTCAAAAAAAAAAAAAAAATGATATGTGCCTTGCTTACACTGTAACAATCATCTTCATGTAGCTGCCATTTTTGGTAAAGCTCTAAACCCTGGCAAACATTAAAATATTAAAACTGAAGTATTAAAAATTATGTCTTTGAGTCTGAGTCCATAATCAGCTGCAAGGTGTTTGCTGTGATAACTGCAAATAAAATTTAACTAAAGAGACTGAACCAAATACTCACCACAGAAAGTGTCACTCCTCCACTGTCTGACAGGCAGCTGAGCTGCTTGGCAGGCAGCAGCATAAGATGCAATAGAATTGCAGAGTGCTGAGTAGTGTCCGTCAAAAGAGCAGGAATCGACTACACAGCTGTGGAAGTAAGGTTTGGGATCCAACACTGAGGCACAGTCTGCAAATGGTCCTAGCTCATTCAACAACACCCCACAAAAATCACTGCCTTCAAAAAGCCTCTGTGCCTCAATATGACAACGCTTCTGTCCAGAGGAACAATTGGACCTACAGGTCTCTGCTCCACGAGTCCTCCAGCTGTGGGCAAGCTCTAGTGTATTTTTGGCAAGCTCTTCATTGGACATCATTTGGTCATCATGAGGGTCACCGTTGGCATTCCCACAAAGCCCAGAGACAGAAGAGCCATAACTGCTGGGGAGGATAACCATTAGAGTACCGCTATTATAGACGATCAGCTGTAATCCCACATCAGTGTGAATGACAACCGATGAAGGTGTGCGGTAGACATTTACATGGCCCATCTGGTGAGAGTATGGTAAAGACTTAAACAGTCCATCAACCTGAGAATCAAAATAAAAAGAACACATTCAGATTACATTCAGTGGTTCATTTTAAATCTGTCAGTAAGACCTTGCTAAGTACTCACCAAAACCTCTCCTGGGCCATCTTTTTTTACCACCACTTCCAGACCATAGACTGAGAGTGTTAAGGTAAGGCTATGAAAAAGTCTTTTGTAGCAACTTGCATCAGATATAGTGATACTGAAGGGGGTTATACCAGTTAAGTTGGAGTTAGTTTGAACTAATGAATATGCACAACTGTCTCTAAAGTCAAAATGATGTCCATCAAAGGTTGTAAAATGCAGCCCAGTAACAATGGTACAGTTCTGGGGTTTTTCAGGTTGACAAACTCTCTTGTGATGTAGCTGCTTGCAAACCATTCCTCTGGGGCACTGGGCTGGACGGCAGCGGACCTCTCCAGCAACTGGTCCACAAGTACAGAGTTGACCACAGTTGTCTGGGATCCAGAAAGTTGAGTTGAGGCTGTGGTATTTGCCTCTGGAGCCTATGCAGCCACATTGATGTGGACGCACACAGCCTTCTGGACTCCTGATGAAGCCAGGGCTACAGAAGCAGCCTTGAACACAGATCTTATTACAGAATGTGGCATTAAATTCACAGGATGGAGGACAGGCTGTGCCACAGGTCTTGTAGTGGCTGTTTGGAGGACAATGCACATCTGAAATGATTTATGGGCATGTCATTTAAATATTCTAGCAGTGTAGTCACAAGCAATTTTTTAACAGCAATAAATTGCACTACTCTATAAGACTACTTACCAACTGTCACTTCACTGTAGTAGCCATCCCTGTATTCTTCACAAACTATGGAGTAAGACTTTATGGCTTGGTCAAGAGCAACTTTTAACTCTGTGTTAAGAATGTGGTCAACTACACAATTTTCATAGAAGGAGTATGGATCGACATGACTATGGCAGTGGGCCAACGGACCATTCTGATCCATGAGCACTTCACACTGTCTACTGTAACTAGAGATGTCAGACACAGGATCAGCTAGTAAGGCCTCTTCATCCAGTTCACAACCAGTGCAACAGTTATGGTCCCCATCAAAGAGCTTGTAAGACTCTGCGAACTCCACACTCGTCTTAATGGGAGGGGAACCAGGTGTAGATACAGGATACTCATCTCGAAGATCACCGTTAAAATTGCCACAAAGCCCATAAACTTTGCCTTGGTAGTGTGGGCCCAGTGTAACAAGAACTGTGGAGTTCCAGTCGAAGACTACATGCATACCAAAGTCAGTTTTCAGCACAGTTCTGCCTTCCTTGTAAGAGACCTCAATCTTGCCACGCAACAAATTAACAGGAATGTAAGTCAGCTGACCATTAACCTGAAAATGAAGGGGGGACTCGTAAGTGATTATTAAAAACTAAACCTGAGCTGCAGTTTCACTCAAACTGATATTTACTTACGCGTATGCTGTCCTTTTCACTACTGAGCTTGATGATGAACCCATAAGCTTGTATAGTCACCACCTGTGTGGAGGATGCAGCTCTACTGCCTTTGCAGTCATTCTTCTTGGACACACTAAATGGTGTCAGACCACATGCTGGCCCTTTGCTGGCTGCGAGCAGGTAGGTACAGGTGCCCTCAAAGTCATAGCTGAGCCCGTCGAAGGTGTGGTAGTGCTGCCTTCCCCAGGTCCAACACAGACCCTGATGGCTCTTACAGACAGGCACACCATTGCTCAGAGAACATTTCTCTGTTTCATCACATTTTCTCTCACATGGATCTGGGATTTGCTCTACATAAAGAAAAATACACTAATTTTAAATTTAACTACAGAAAAAGTAATACATGTACTAGCAAGCAAATCAGTATCCAAAAATGTTGCTTCAGTTTAAATGCTCACCATCCTTGTGGCAGGTCATGATTCCATCTAAAACTATACATCTGTGCAGTGGAGGACATGAGTATTGCTCACAGATAAGAGGAGGCCCACAGGTGCAGTTAACAGTACAGTTTTGGAGAAGTTTGCTCTCAGAGGCCTGAAAATAGAAAAAATAGAAAAAACAGAAAGAAACCAATAAATAACATTAAAATATGTTTACTAAAGTAGTAAAATATTAATTTGAATAATACCCTTGATTACAATATTGCAAACAAATGGACTAATGCAAGTAAAAATGAATGACAATTTAAATTCACTTTTCTATCAAACTATAAACAGAACTGTTTAATTCTGACCATAAACCTCCTCCCGTCCTGTACACAGCCACACTGCTCTGCTGGTACACAGGCATGGCCATCATAAAGGTGTTCACTATCACATTGGCAACCTTCCTCACAGTCTCTGGGGCACTGCACTGCCTGGTTAATCTCAGGACACAATGAGGAGCAAGCATTGGCACACTGGCTGTAGTGGCTGAATTGAGGACATTGATAAGCTGCAAAGTAAAAAGTGTCAGTTTCCAGTTTTGTATTTTAATGCATTTCATTTGAAATTTTCCATTTAATTAAGACATCATTAAATAATATACTAAGCTGTTAAGACTTACCACAGCCAGTGGTGTTTGTCCAGAGGTTAGCCATCCCTCCTGCTTCCTTACATGCTGCCTCATAGGCCCACAGGGCGTCACAGAGGGCCCAGCGTTGTCCCTTTGCAATGCAAAGGTTTTTCATGCAGAGTGAATAGTATTTCTGTGGGCACACTAAATGGTGACAAGAGGAGAATGGTCCTCTTGGGTGTGTGAGGAGGCCACAGTACAGGTCAGAGGTGTACTCTGGCACAGGGGACTGACAGAGTTGACAGCTGCTGTCACATGTGTCGCTGCATGATGATTCAATACCACTTAACTTCCATGATGGTCCAAAGATGTCAAGATCAGAGATCACGGTGCCATTGGGCAGCTGCAGGTCATCTAAAGGATTATTATTGTAGTTTCCACAAAGGCCGCAGGTAGTCTGGTGGTAAATGTTGGGAATCTTGACCTGAATGTGGTTTCGTAGGTCTGAAATAAGCTCAAGTGACTGTAGGGTCCTGATGGTTATCCATCCATTTTTCTGATGTACAGTGACATTGTTCTGGGAGAATGGCAGATTCTCATAAACTCCATTTACCTGAGTGAAATAATTCACTTTTAAAACATAATATGCAATACAGTTTGTGTACGCTGTGAAAAATTATTTTATAGTGCACGTTAAGAGATGAACAGTAAGTCATGTTGAAGGTAGTGAAATCTTTACCTGAATTTTTCCAGGAAAAGCTGTTGACGTCTTCAAATACATTTTATTGACTTGCAGGTAGATCTGCCTACCCTCCCTGTGGCTGCCCTGTGCAGCAATCAAAACAGGCACCACATCCATTTTCTTGAGAGGGCACGTCTGCACCAGAGTGTAGTTACATGAACCGTGAAATTCAAATGCCTGTCCATCAAACGTGGTGTAGTGGGATCCATCAACAGAGCAGTGTGCCACTTTGGGTTTGGTATGGCAACCTTGAACACCCCTAATAAGCTTACACTCCTCATCCTCTCCACAGGAGACATTATGACAAGTCATGTGTCCCCCAGCATGACATAAACAGCTTTGTTCGCATGTAGACACCTCCTGTCCTGCCCTGAGGTACTCTCCATGGTGTAAGCAGCCACAGTTTTCTGGATAGACACAGAGGCTGCCACTGTGAACTAAACCCGCTTCACACAGGCAGTTCTCCCAAGTGTTTAGAGGCATCTCTACCGTTTTATTCTGCCAGCCGAGGCAGAGGTGAACAGAGGCAGAACTCGTGTTGTAACTGGTACTGGAGGGACAGGACAGGTCTGTAGAGAAACAGAAATCAGTCATGTAAGACAGACAGACAGGAAAATGCTGTAAATGTTAGGGTTGACCAGTGATGCATTAGTACCATCTAGTGGTCCAATAGCATCTTAAAGGTTGTGGCCTCAATACCAATGAGTCACATCACACTGCATCTAAATTATACAAAAACATTTTTTTTTAACTCAATAAATGCACTAGAGAACAAACTTTACATTAAAGTACCTACAGGCATATATCTGATTTAAATGCAAATAATCACCATGCTCTTTTCCACGTTGCGTGATCAATATCAGTATTGACAATCTAAGCATGATGAAATGTTATGTGCTTGCACAGGCATCTGCAAATCCCCCATATTTCATTTGGTGTGCAATGATGCTGAACTTCAAACAGCACAGTTACAATTGTAGGGGATATTCATTTAATTCACTTGCACAACAGAGCTTGGAGCGCATTAACACTCACAGCAGAATCCAGGACTCCTCCAGGCATAAACTGTTGCCTTGTGGGAAAGACAGACAGCAGTATACTCTGCCAGGGAGTGACACAGTGCAGGCTGGAGACCTCCATGAAGACACAGGTCACTGACGCAGTGCTTGTAAAAGCTGGAGGGGTCCACTTTGCCATGACAGTGTCTGAATGGTCCATTAACTTCCAGAATTTTTCCGCAAGCCTCCGGGTCAGAGAATCGGGCCAGACGCTCAGGTGAACATTTTGGACAACTTCCTCCTAGACAGCCCTCCACACACCATGGATTCCGCCCACTTCGCCAAGCTTTTCCAAAATACTCAGGACTGAGATGCTCCTGTGTGCCACTTGCTGTGAGGTCATCAGCTGGATCAGAGTTCAAGTTGCCACACAGTCCACAAGTAGTATTAGCATATTTATGGGAGAGACTAATACTAACTATGCCCTCTGTGCTGACGGTAAATTCAAAGCCCATGTCTGTGTAGATGAAAGTGTGCAGCCCCAAAGAGAAAGCTAGTGCAGTGGAGCTTAAGTGATAAGGCATGCTCCTCTTGACACCATCAACCTGTAGGGGGTGCCAAAATTGCATTTGAAAGTCAGCAAAGGGCAACACATTTTCAAAAGTAATCTTTGTCAAGTTTGGTCTAATTATTAGATCATTATGTATGGCCTATAACAGTGTCAAAAATACTTAACATGACATTTTCAAAAACAAGGTAAGAAATACACAGCAATAAGAGGACTCACTCACCTCAATGTTCTCAGTGTTTTTGCTGTTCAGCTCCACAAGCACACCACTCACATTGATCAGGACATGAAGTTCTGACTCCAGCTGTCCATCTGTCTGTACGTGAACCTGAATGACATCAAGTCCTTGTTTCTGTTCACATATGCCCAGTAACTGGTACTGACAGGTGCCATGCAAATCATAGGCGTAGTGGTCAAAGGTGAACACACGATGTCCAGTGTAGATGCACGTCTCCTGGGGGAGCAGCACACAGCTTGTGACTCCATCTTGAAGATCACAGTATTCATCAGGGCCACATGAATCCAAATGGCATTGTGTCTGGTGGGTGTGGGGGTCACAAACACACCATTCAGTGCATCTCTCATCAGCCCAGAACGTCTGGTTGCTGTGGTAACTGTAGCCGTTGTGAACGCAGCCACACTGCGACAAGGGGACACAGGTGTCACCGTCCCGGACAAACCCCGAGTTGCACTGGCAGGTCTCCACACAAGCCAGGGAGCAGGGGCTTGAAATGAATGGGTCCTCACAGGTGGCAGGACAGGCTGTGCCACAGGTCTCATAATGGCTATTCAGTGGGCAGGACATAGCTGATGGGAGACAAAAAAAGACTGAACAATATGGAGGAAAAACTGCACACATGAGCTTGTAAGTTTCCTGGCACGATATATATATATTTTTTTTTTTTTTTTTTTTTTTTTTTTTTAAAATCAATTCATAAATTTGCCTCATAGTAACACAGATTTGCTTACGGCAGACAGTGCTGTTCCTCCACTCTCTGATTTGGATCTGGGCATTTTTGCAGGCAGCAGCATAGGTCTCCAAGATCAGGCAGATGGCCTTCTGAGTGTCATTACTGGAGCACAGGTCAAATATGCTAATTCCTGTGGAGATTTTAGTGTAGTTTACAACTTCCCAGCACAGGTAGAATGGATTTTGTGGTGACCAAATGTACTCATGCAGAGTGATCCATTGACTGGCAACATTTTTTTCCTGTAGCTGGTCAGCAGAGCAGTGTGGGCATGGATCGCCACAATCTGCTGTACATTGGGCCTCCTGATCAGGAACTCTCCAACTCCAGCCAAAGGTGGTAGCATCAACTGCCTCACCCTGTGGGGTCCTCAGGTCATCATCTTTGATGCCATTGCCATTCCCACACATACCACGGACTTCTGTTGTATTAGAGAGGAGGATGCTGGCAATATGAGAGCAGTCATACTTAATTTGGATGCCCAGATTCGTATCCACAACAACAAACATGCCACTCTGATGGATCTTCGCCAGTCCAAACTGTAGAGTCACAGGCAGTAGCTTTTTCTCACCATTTATCTGTAGAGAGCACAGATGTATTTGTATATTTTACTTCAGAATCTTTTTTTCCATGCGATTGTGGTGAAATTTTAACCCTTGTTGTTTCAGTGTATCTAAATTACCAATAACCCACATAAAACCCTTACATAATTATATATTCAACAAACACAAGAAATTATAAATTATGGTCATCACCCTAATCCATGAGTTAAATCACAAACTGACAGTAAAGCCATCTTAGGGAAGTGACAGTTTCTCCATGTCCGAGTTCAAACTTACCCAAGCATGGCCTTTTTCCCCTCTGTAGATAGTAACATTGTTTTTAGCCACTTTGGCATGAATAGCTTTAAGAGATGATGACCCGTTGGGTGTCCTGTCCTTCTGTACTCCGACCCAAACTATATTATTCTTACTGGTGTCATTCAGTATATGGATCAGAGTGTAGGTACAGTTTCCTTGGAATTCAAACATCTTCCCATCAAAAGTATAGAAGTGGGAGCCTCCCAGCACCCAACACTGGGTTTGCTGAGGTTGGCTCCGGTCACAAGTCTCTCCATTCTCACATATTTTATAATTGTCAGCTGAAAAGAAAAGAAATGGGGGTTAAAAAGTTAACAGATAAATGACAGTTTAGGCAGAGGAAACATCAGTACTTCAAAACAACTGCTGTAAATAAAGAAAAAGGAAGTTCAAGTAAATGAATTTAAGCATAAATATTCTGTGGTCACAAAAGAAAAAAAAAAAGTTATTAGGATGGCATTAAATGCAAATACTTATTCACAGATATTTGCAACAGATTTCTTTTAAATGTCATGGGCCTCCATGAGGACAAGTAAAATTATAAAAAATGCATTATTATTTGTGATTGACAAGCAGTACGATCATTGTGAAGTGTCGAGGGAGGCGGACAGTATATAAGCACAATGGACTATCAAAAGGGGTGAGAGGTTAACCGCATTCCAGGTAAAATGTCAGGACACAGAAAAAACACCTTTGTGCTGTGTATGAGGTTGCAAAACAGCCCTTACAGAAAAACAAAGTGACATAAAGTTTCATAACGTGAGACTAGTGAGTGATGCATGGTGCAATTGAGAGAAAAACAGTTAGCCTGTGAGGAAATGGCACCCAACCTAGCAGAACCAGCTGGGCCTACCTTTTCCTACGCAGCCCCAGGTATTGTTAAGGGCGCAGCTCTCTCCCTCAGGGCAAGAGGCTGGTTCACAGCACATGGTGGCAGTGGCAGAGGCAGAGCAGTTACACTGCTCGGAGCATCCCTCAGCCCACAATATCTCCCCAATCTACAGAAAACAGTGAGTCACTGTTTGTGTGTGTTAACCAACTGTTCTCTAAACACCAAGCAAAACAACCACCCAGCACAACACAAAGACCTAGGATTTTGTGATTAATCATGTGTCACATGTTCAGGTGAGGCACATCCATGTTTCGCAAAGACATTAATGAGTCATGTTATTAACAGTGCATGGAATAAGTAAGGCACTTTACTTGTTTAGCACAATGTTTATAACCGAAATTGCTGTGGGGTCACATGAAAATGTGTCACAACAGCACTGCCTCAGGGAACCAACAGATTTATCACAAGTCAGGCAAAGCTGCAATTTTCAGGTCAGACCACATGTCAACTATGTAGTTTAGCTGCATTAAGAAAAATCATACATGAACTGCTGTGTTAAAGGGAAAATGTACATGCCAGTTGGTATAGGCCAAGTAATGTGTAGCTACATACCTCATAGTAGTGGCCATGATAGAAGCAACCACATTGCTCAGCTTTGACACAGCCATTTCCACTCTGCATGTATCCAGAGTCACATTGACATCCCTCATAACAGGGCCATGGGCAGTGGATATCAGATAAAATACCACAGGACTCAGGGCACACACTAACACATATATTGTAGTGAGAGTTTTCAGGGCATGAGAGTGCTGTGGGAGGGGGAAAAAAACTTAATATATTGTACAGAGTCCAGCTAGCCTTACATCAGTCTTCCCATATCACTGTATAGAGTTTGTCAGAGCTTTAAAAGTACAACAGAAGTGTGTGTGCAGACCTCTGACTTACATGCACTGGCACACCATAACACACTAATGAAACAACACATGAACAAATAAAAGTCAAGATTATAAATACTCACGGCACTTTTCACTCCTCCATGGTTTGACTTCAGCTCCCGCGCCCTGACATACAAAAGTGTATTCTTTCAAACTATCACAAAACAATTCTTCATTCCCATTAGACATACACAAGTCATTTACACAGTTCTGAAAGAAGGGCTTTGGGTCAACAGAGGAGTGGCATCCACTAAATGCTCCTGCAGGAGAAAGCAATGTGCCACAGATTTCATCAGATGCAAATTCAGCTGCCCTGGTAGAGTTGCACACTGAACAGAGATAACATTCTTTAGAGCAGTTCGTTCCAGGTGGTGAAAGTGACCAGGAAGACACAAACATGGAAACATCACTTGCAAGGCTGCCATTCAGGCTCAGTTTGTCGTCTGTAGCAACAGCACGGATGTTTCCACACAAGCCACATATTTTTCTATGGGAGGCAGGAATCACTACTTGTATGAGATTAGGCCCTCCATAACTAATAACCACCCCAGTGTCTACAACAACATGGGTCAGCAAGCCAGAATGGAATATTGCTACATGATCCAGTTGGACAGGAAGACCCCACAGAACGCCATCAATCTGAAAAATTAAAATGTTAAAGTTACAACCAAGGCTAACTAAACAGTATATGTTGGTAAATGTGCAACTGCTTACCTTTGCTTTTCCCAAATGCTCTATCTCCAATGAAACATTCACTCCATGGACCCTGAGGTACAGCTGTCCTTGTTGGATAATTATGGGGTCAGATTCTTCCTCATCACAAACCTGGGATAAAAGATAACGGCAGTTTCCCATATTAAAGTCAAAGCTAAGCCTGTCATAGTTCCTGAAGTGTCTACCACCAAAGACTGTGCATTTAACAGGTTGTGATGCATGGCATGCCCTGTAGCCATCTTGGATATAACATTTTGTTCCATTTGGACATGTGTGGTTGGTGCACTGGACTGTGTTGTGGCCAGTACAGACACAGTGCAGCTGACAGTGTTCATCAGAGTAGAAGCTCTCATGGATTTCATGGTAAACACCATTGTAAATGCAACCACACTCAGAGTCAAGTACACATTTGCCACCACTGTGGAAAAACCCAGGTCTGCAGAAACAGCCCTCTTTGCATTTCACTGCTAGAGGACTTGGATTTTCCACACAATCAGACATGTGACTGGAGCACAGGCGGTATTCACTGTTAGGTGGACAGGAAAGATCTAAGGGGGGGGGATAGGAAAAAAAATCATTCAAAATATTCCCATTTTGTACACATTTAACATTAGAAGGAAAATGTTTTTTTCACTATGGTTACTTACTACAAAAGTTGGAAGTCCTCCACTCATCCACTATAGCTCCCATTTCTTGACATACAGTAACATAGCTGGACAGAATCTGACACAGGACAGTCTGGTTACCGTAACAGAGATCATGAACACAGTTATCATAGAAATCTTGTGGATCAACTGTTTTATGGCAGCTCTGGAACACTCCATCTGTATCCAGTAACTTTCCGCAGAAATTTTTTCCCTGATAAATAGCCACATCTTGCAAATTGCAATCTGAGGTGTTCATGGGTGCATCCACACATTGATATTCATTGCTGGTTTGCCAGTATCTAATGGCTTGAAGGATATCAGATTCATCTTCAGGCATCAGATCGTCTTCTGGATTAGCATTAAAGTTCCCACACAGGCCACAGAGATTACCAGAGAAGGTCCTTGGCATTTGGACGGTCAGGACGTCAGAGCTGTACGTCACAACAACGCCAAAATCAGTCTCTATGTACTTTGAGAGTCCAGTCGTGTAGAGCTTTACTTTGCCTTTACTCAAAACAGAGGGAAGTTGCAGTAGCAGACCATTTACCTGAAACAAGGGGAGTAATGTTTAAATGCAAATGGGGAAAATGGTTTGCCTAGAAGTACTGCTGCAAATAAATGAACGTACCTCTACCCTGTTACTCCAGTCGTTTGACATCTCAATGGAATAACCAGACACCACCATTTTAATACGGCGAAAGGAAACAGCAGTAGCATCCTTCATCTGGTTCTGCACCTCCACACTAAAGTCTTCCAGGTCTCCCCAGGTGGGACAGTAAGAAGTGAGTAGGTAACTACAGTTGCCATAAACATCAAAGTTACGCCCATCGAAGGTGGTATAGTGAGGATCTCCCTTGGCTATGCACACCCCAGGCCCGTCCATGTGACAGCCCAAGACTCCATTCAGAACCTTGCACACTTCCCCATTCTGGCAACGAGACTGCGCACACATAACCGTCTTGGAGTTAGGCTGACACACACATTTCTCCTGGCACTGCTCATCAACCCAGAAGTTCTCCTTGGGGAGATAGTAGGAACCTCGGTGGAGACAACCACATTTCCTATGTGGTACACACTCGCTACCACTCAGTAGATAACCCTTATTGCATTGGCATGATTCCACACAGGGCAGCGTGCAATTATGATGGGACATTGGGTTACCACAGGTAGCAGGGCAGGCAGAACCACAGATCTCGTAGTGGCTGTTCATAGGACATGCCATAGCTGTGAAAAGTAACAACATATGCCAAGTTTTTTTTTTTTTTTTTTTTTTTTTTTTTTAAAAAAAAAAGAAAACCATTTTTTTAAAAAAAAAAAAAAAAAAAAAAAAAAAAAAAATGTAAAAGACTCACGGCACTTGGCAATGGCTCTCCAGTTTTGGACTCTGGCCCCAAGCCTCTGACAGATGTTGGCATAGGCTGTCAAGATCTTGCACATAGAAGAGTCAACTCCGCTGACATGAAGGCTGTTTACACAACTGCTAACAAATGGCTCAGGATCAATATATGAATGACATTCTGCAAAAAGTCCACCACTTCTCTGTAGTAGAGTGCAAGCAATCCTGAAGGAGCTGCCTTTAGAACCCGGAAAAGATTTGGTTCGGCTTTGGCTGCACACTGGACACGAGACACCATCACCGCAATCGTCAATGTAGGAGCCTGCATCACTGCTCACCACCGGTGGCAGATTAAAATCCGCAGTCTGGGTTCCTTCAGTGCCATTAGAAGCAATGACATCATCTGAGGAGCTGTGTTTAGCATTTCCGCACAAGCCACACACAGCTCCATACAGCTGTGGACCAACTTCAACCTGAAGGTGGTGCTTCCAGTCGTACTGCAGCGCTAGGCCAAAGTTAGTGTCCAAGACAACACTGGAGCCACTTGGGTAAAAGTTCAGGGTCGCATTTCCCAGGGTCAGGGGCAGGTTCCTCTTCTGCCCGTCAATCTGTTGAGTGTAAATACAACAGCAATGTACATGAACAAACAAACTACAAAAAGTTTATATTTAATTTAAATACATTATTTGCACTCACCCTAACATGATTTTTGTCTCCTTTAATTATGGAGATATTAAAGCCTTGGATGCGTATGTGCACTGCGTGGATGGTGGAAACAGTGGCCCTGTTCAAATATGCACTGGCTATATTAATCTGCAGAGGCTCAGAAGCATTCAAGCCTGTACAGGTAGTTTGAACTAAAGTGTAGTTAGTGGTCCCCGGTAGGACACAATCTCTTCCATCAAACATATGGTAATAAGAGTCACCCCATACAGAGCATATTTTAACTTTTGAAGAACAGATTGGTTTTCCATCTGTGATATAGCACTTCTGTTTTTGACCACAGTGCAACTCTTCACAAGAAGCTGCGGCTGAAAAAAACAAAACAAAACAAAGTTCATATCTACATGCAAGTGTTACAGATTAACAACTTCATCAAATTTTCAACAATTAACCATGCAAAGTCTTTCAAAAAGCTTCAATACATACTTTTCTCACACACTGCTGGGCGTAGTCTGTTCATGGCACTCAGATAGTGTCTCACATCTGTGTCTGTTTGAGGAAGACTGAGCTCTGCATCACCCAGCAGCTGAGGAAAGTTGCCGCTTTGGGAGAATTTAACAGCAGAGTTTAAATCTCCTGTGTGAGCACCGTTATCTTGCTGCTCACTCATATCACCTGAATCAAATATAGGTACAATCTGACAGATATCATCTACAGAAGGCAGTACAGTTAGTGTTGAAAAACTCTGTTCATTGTCATGTCTGAAGTAAACAAGTTGAAGAGGACTGTCACTAGTAATATGGATTTTATCTGAGGTCACAACTGGGATGACCGTCATAACGCCAACAACAAGAGAGATATTCTTTTGCCCGGTGCTGGTGGTCATGTCCAGAGCAGAGTTCATAGTAGCCATTGCCAACAGGGAACTGGAACTCATTCCTGTGTTTTCCAAGGGAAATATGATGTAATCAAAACTCCAGTGTGAAACTGGAGCAAGTTCAGCAAATCCATACAAACAATCGTCAGGTGTATGTTTGTAGCAGGTAAAACCAACCACAACACCTACAGCTACTTCTGAATTTAACTCTGAGCCAGAGAGGCTGGTGTTGCTCTGGAGGTACACACTCTGCAGCACCCCTATATGCAACTTAAGCACACTACCGCTGGGGTACATATTGTCATCAAAGAGCACTTCCCCTGTGAGTAAGATGTCCACTGATGTCTCATGGTCCGAGCTGGTGATCACCATTTGACTGACAGCAGTCTGGTTAGGGAAGTGGGGAGTAATGGGATAGTAGTGGGTCCCCCAGGTGGACACATCATGAAGGAGGCTGTGATCACAACCAGTCTGGGTGCAAAATGAGGCAAGGACTGTAACAGGCTTCAAAGACATCACACTGAGGAGGTAGGAGGAGCGAGCACTGGCCATTTCCACAGCCAATGGCAGGTGAATTGTCTTTGACTGGTGAGCAGACAGGAAGATGTGTTTCATGAAGCTGGTTTCCAGAACCTTCACAGTGACTGAGGTCCAAGCACCAGTGGCTATAATAGTTACTTGATGGCTAACATTTGCTGCTGGGTCATTATGAGGGGGAAACATCATCAGAAATGTCCTACCAGGACTGGCCACAGAAAGGCCTGAAGAGGAGAATATGAAACTGAGTTACATTTCATGTTCAGTATAAAACATTTGAATATACTTCCACATTACATCTGCAGGAAATGTGCATATGAATAACATGATTAACAAATATGGAGTTCTGACAGTATATATATATATATATACACATACATATACACACACATATTATTAATAATGGTAAACAAACTTGCACCAGATGATAATGTCTATTCACTGGACACTGAGTAAGTTTCCCAGTATGCACAGTAAGTCTACTTGTGTAACAGATAAGACAGCTGGTGTCAGATTTCAACAAGTTCAGCAGCCAATGAAGAACATAGTTCCTAGTTCCTGACTGAGGACACTATTAAAACGTGCACACTCACTCTGGCAGTTTCCATGATAACAAGGATCTTGGCGTGGGAGCAACAACATACCAGCAGTGTATAGAGACAATTCTAAACAACAGCTCATTTAAATGTAAGTTTACCTTTCAGCCTATATTCTGGGTTAGTTGCATAAAATTATTTAATCATTTTTCAAAGGTTGATCTTTACCACAAGCTTATACCATATTGTGTCATTGCATATGAAACAAATCTAAAACGTCATGTAGATTAGTCACTGCAGGAGCATTGTAACAAATGGCAAACTGTTGGTGTGGTGGTGGTTCAGTTTCTCTTTTTTTTCCCTTTTTTCTTTTTTTAAATTATATGCAATTATGCATATCACATTGCAGAAAAAAAGGCAACTGAAGATTTCTCAAGACACCAATTACTGACTATAATTCCTTTTAACAGTGCACAGATTAGTATCTTTTGTTGTTCCAAGGGCTGAGACATAGCCGCACCCTATTCATCACTCATAACTAGACAAATAGAACTTCTCAAGATAGACAGCGGTACTGTTGAGACTTGAGTGATGCAGGTAAAAGAGGAATAATGCTAATGCATGTGTGCTGCAAATATCCAAGAAAACTGGAGTGAAGAAAGGACTAACATGCTGAAAAACTAGTCGGGTTATAAAATGATGTGTATGCAAATTACCTTTCAATCTAGTTTAATTACAGCCCAACACTTAAAAACAATTGCTTATAAACCATGACACTTACCAAGTCCAAACAGGCACAACTGGAGCAGCAGTACAAACTGCATTTCGGCACTTTAACAATGAAACTTACATGGATGGAACAAATGTATCGATTCTGTTTTCCCTTCAACTGATAAATTACAGGCTATTTGCATTGGAAACGGCCAGTATCGAAACCTATTGATAAGCTAGTAACACACTGCCAGAAACAAGGGAGAACGATGGAAAATGGCCAATTAGCACACCTGTGCTTGGTAAGGCAGATATCAGCCCGTCAGTCACTCGGCGTGGACGTCATCAGTTGTGGACAAATTAGACAGCACCTGCCAGGTGATCTGCATTATCGTTAACTACCACAACCTCCAGTGGCACCGGTCATTTTCTGGTCCAGTTCAATTAAAAATTAATCACTGATCATTATTCAACTTTACCCGACATTATGGCAACTTGCCATATTTAACTGCTTTATAGCTATGACTTTTATTCATTCATGTCCAAATCTGTCATCACTACACCTACTTGTACCCACTATCTTAACCTTATCGTTTTCGGGGAAACCAAACAGCACTTCTGAACAGACAGACAGAGAGGTATTTTCCGCGGTACTTAACTGTGTGGCAAACGTAAAGGGGCAGTTTAGCGCAGAATGAGGTGGCTGTGAATCCCCTTTTAGGTGAGAATAAAGTAGCAGTGAACTTGGCCTGCACTGCAGCAGACAGCTTTTCCTGTTAACGAGTCGGCGCCGCTGTGTTGCTCATCTGATCGACTGACGTCTAGCTGCGGTGTGTGCTTCAAGTTTCAGGGCTCAGACGAAGAGACACAAGGTTAAAAACTTAACTTCCTCAGAAGGAGTACACACTTTGCATCAGAACTGGCTCTCTCCTGGGTTGGTAGGTTAGTAGTATTTTAAACGTTAACAGGCTGTAATGTAATACAAAATTACCATCAGTGAACATTTTTGTTGACTTATGAGCCTCATAATGTACCTGCAGTGAAGCTTGTTCATTCTATTTCCTCTATATTTTTCAGTTTCTCATTTTTTTTCTGTGTTATTCTACAAGTTCAGCCAACTGTATTTGAGATATCCATAACTTTCTCAGTGTGTAACTCATGGAAACATATTTCAGCTCTAAAAAAACAGCATATCTGTTTGTTGCACAGTGATGTATGTGAAATCTTTCATCCATTCAAATGTGCAGACTTCTTCCTAAAGTAAGCAGGTCAGAAAAGGTGAGGGTAGTGTAAATATAAAAAAAAAAAAGACACTTCCTTTGTGTATGTGTGTATATAGGCTAAGCTTGTCATGTGTACTAGTGGGTGTGTTTTCAACCTAAATATTAGTCTGACACTAAATAACAAGTGTTTTTCTCCTGTTGTTTGCCCAGGGAGTGTCAGAGGTGAAGCAAGGGCACCAAATCTTTGTTGAGCCCTTCACACATCATCTTTGCAATTTTTTTATTTTTTATTTTTCCCCAAACACTTTGTGTTGCTTGTTTCTTGGAGCGGTGATGAGGCTGCATTTCAGATAGACTGGGCTGTGCAAACCCTCAGTGTGCCTGGGATAGGTCTTGTGATAGTGCTGTTAACAAAACAGAAAACAACAGCTTTGTCTCCATCTGATAAAAAGCAAACCTGAGGTGTACGTGCCCAGTGTGCTGTGTGTCCTGAATCTGATTGTTGCTGTTTTGGTCACAGCAGAGGTTTAAAATGCCAACATTTTGGTGGAACTATAGAATCTGTTCATTCTTGTGTGTGTTAACAGGTTTTATATTATTGCACACACACATACAGAAAGAGAGAGAGAGAGAGAGAGAGAGAGAGAGAGAGAGAGATGGGGGGGGTAGGCAAATACAGGATATGTGTCTCTAAGGCAGCTGCCATTGTCAGGCACACATTCATATCCTCCTAGTTGTTTTACTGCTGGCTTTATTGGCCTGATGCTCAACAAGACACCCATAAGCAATTTGTATTGGAAGTAACTACTTAGTTTTCAGACTCATTATTTATCAATGGTGGATTGCTCACTCGTATGCATGGCACCAACTGAGGTATTGTGAGTTTTGCTTTATTTTTGTTTTATTTTATCATTAGTTTCCTTGTTACTTTGTTTGCGGCCCAGTGGCATAGAAGAGTGTCTTATGTTATAGAGAAAAAATGGCTTTGCATCAACCTCTCTAAGATAAACAGCTGCTGTAGAGATGGCAGAGTTGAGTAAACATTTCAATAAGAATATTTTCTCTCTTCACTGAAGCAGAGTAAGCTACCACTTTTATAAAATTGAATGGCAATGAATAACAAATGATCTGAGTGCTTTTTCCCCTCCTCTCGCACCCCTTTTCCCTTGTGCTGCTCATTCTTTTTTAGAGCAAGTCCGTTTTAGCTTTGACACATCTTCACAATAATCATAAAGTTTGTCTTTGCTATCTTCTCTCCTCTTTCTCTCAAATGTTCCAGCATGTATCTCTTTTCCTATGAACTCTATAGGCCACAGTAATTCTGGTATCTTTGCATGTTAGTGATTCCTATCAGTGGTGTCAAAGTCTTGTCAGAAGTGCTCAGTGGTTGAGCAGAGGGTTGTTATCTGTGCAAGCAGATAAGAAAGAGGTTGTCTGTGTCGCTGCATGTAGTTCTGTTTATGTCCATTTAGTAAACCTCTGTTTGTGTGTTTGTATTTTGTTGATATAGATTGTACTGGGTGGGTTAGAAGGAGCTAAAACTGTTCATCATTGAAATTTAAACCTGGTAAACAAGATTTAGGTGTTCTGTGGGCTGGCCTGACCAGACAGGTATGAGGTTCAGGGTTAATCCTGTCAGTGGAAAACTGCACTGGGGAAAACAGAACAAAAACAAGACTCATCCACCCTCCACCGACATTACTGTATATGCCTCTCTTGCAGCCCTGTTCTCCAGTTTTTTGATTTGTAGATTTCTACATTTAGTGTCTATGATCTTTGCATCTCCAGCCAGAAGGCAGCTGGCATGTCTACTTAATAAGCAAGCCATTGGATATTATATGTTGCAAACTGGCTCTGGTATTAAAGAGCAAATTCAATCGGTATTCAAATGTACAAGAATATATTACCCAATTTGAAAAATAATGCAGGCGTCAGGAGCCACTTTAATACAGAGGCAGTGGACTGGGTTGATAAATATTTCCAAATTGGATCAGCTTATTATTTCACCCAAAGTGACTCTGAAAAGCAAATTGGATACAGAAGGGGGTTTTATTTGCAGCTTCTTAGGTTATTTGTGTTTGGAGATTTACTGCAGCTATTCAGGAGGCCAGAACAGCCCACACTACACTCCCTCTCCAATCAGCCTCAGTTGCGTGATTAACATCTTTTTCCAATATAGTCAACCAAAATACTCCTTGATGCTGTTCTGCTAATTTAGCATGAAGATAATCTTGTTGTGGACTGGGCCATACTTATTCCTTTGTGGCCCTACAGGGTAGACATTTGTCTCGCATGAAGGTTTGAAGAGATCATCTACCATAGCAGCATTTATAGATAAGATTACAGTGTATGGACAGATTCCTGATGCCTAGGTCTTTTATAAAAGTGCCAAAAACCTTATTCAAAGAATTAATTGATGTTGAGTAGTGTCCTGTTTCCATTCTTAATTCCCATGCCTTTCCATTCACCAAATATGGTTATTGGAATCTACTCACCATGTCCTGAGCATAATCCACTTCCTTAAATTGTAGTAATAAGTAGGAAA